AAGGGAAAAATGATTAAAGTGATCACTGTGTTCCACTTGAAACACAACGAAATTAAACAAGGAAAATATCAACAAGGACTTTCCAGAAGAGTGACAAATATTCACCACATCTCTAGCAAGCCGTTGGGGGTGGAAATATGTGGAAAATCATACAAGGCAGAATAAAAAGGTAATATTGTTCACCTGTTCTCTGGACACCGGCTGTTCAATGATATCCACAGCGTAATGGATGGACGTAATTTCTTCCACATTGAGCACTGTGTTGAGGGTGTTCCCTGTGGCCAGAAGCGTCCCAACCACAACCAGTATGTGGAAAATCATGATGGCTCACATCCCTCACTCACGGTCACAAATTACACACTGTCGACTCGCAGTCTCGCACTTCGACGTCGATCCTCTAGCCTCTTCGGGGTTGCCTTAGACAAGAGGGGCACTCAGAATTGCATTTCGGCCTTTTTCTTAAGTTCTCGTTGGTTTATGTATCTTTTCAAGGTATATATGTCAATGGTGTCTTTAACAAGAGTTATAAAGTTTGTGAAAAACTTCGAAGGTGGGAATATTATGCCATAATTATTAGGGGGAAAGAATTTAGGTCTTGGCGTCGACGTTCTGCGCGGCGCTAGAGTTGCCAAGTTGGCTTATTTCGGCTTTGTTTTTCTTGTGAGACGTCACTCGATTTGGAGAAGAGAGAAGAGAGAGTGGATGAAAAAATAACTGGAGCAGATGGAAAGGAAGAGGAGCAAAGGGTGGAGGCGATGAAAAAGAGAGAACAATTTTTTAACAACTATCATCACATCATTTTTGACATAGTTTCCTCATTATTTACTTTATTTTACGAATATGATTGATTTTCATTGATATAATAATTTCAATTATCATTGCATTTTATGACTACTATTGTTTATATTTCTTTAATTCAATTGATGTTGTTAGTATCATTATCAATATCTTCCACGTTGTCATTGGTTATCATTATTATTATTATTATTATTATTATCATTATTATTATTATGTTATTATTATTATATTATCATATATTATTATTATTATTATTATTATTATTATCATTATTATTATCATTAATATCATTGTTATTATTATGATGATGATGATTATTATTATTATCATTATTATTACTATTGTTATCATTAGTATTATCATATCACATTTACCTTTATCACTATTATCATTATCATCATCATAATTATTAACATTATCATTATCATTATTATCATTATTTTTTCATTATGATTATTGTAATTGTTATTATTATTGTCATTATCATTATTATCATTATTTTTTCTTTACTATTATTGTCATTGTTATTAATTATATCATTATCATTATTATTATTATTATTATTATTATTATTATTATCATCATCATTATCATTATTATTATAATCATTACAATTATTATCATGGTCATCATTATCACCATCATTATCATTATAATCCTTATCATTATCGTTATCATTTTCATTATTATTATTATAATCATCATTTTTTGTTATTATTGTTATTATTATTAGTATCATTATTATCATTATCATTATCATAATTTATATTATTAATATCATTATCATTATTATTATCATTATCATTACTATTACTATCATTGTCATTATTATTACTATCATTATCATTATTGTTATTATCATTATCATTTTCGTTATTATTATCATTATCATTATTATCATTATCATCTTTATCATCATTGTTTTTATTAACATTAGTGTTATCATTATTATTATTAGTAGTAGTATCATTATCATAATTGAATTATTATCATTACCATAATCATTATTATCATTATCATTACTATAATCATCACCATTATTATTATCATTATTACTATTGCCATCATTATCAATATCAGTTGTAGTATCGTATCATTATTATCATTATCATAATCATTGCTAGTACTATTATTACTGTTAATTCCATAATCATTAGTATTAATAGTTTCGTATTATTGTCATTTTTAATATTGTTTGTTATCATTTTTATCATCATTACTATTGTTATCATTATTATCATCATTACTATTGTTATCATTATTATCATCATCATTATTACTATTAATATTATTATCATTATTATTATCGTTGTCATTATTACCGTTATTATTACCATTATCATTATTGTCATTATTATCATCTTTATCATCATCATTTTCTTTATTGTCCTCATTTTCATTATTAGCATCGTTGTTGTCATATCATCATCATTATCCTTATGATTATTATTTCTACTATTATCATTATCATTACTACTGCTACTACTACTACTACTACTGCTACTACTACTATTACAACTACTGTTGCTGCTACTGCTATTTCTGCTGCTGTTACTACTACTACTACTACTAATGCTGCTGCTGCTGCTACTACTACAACAACTACTACTGCTGCTGCTACAACTACTACTACTATTACGAGTACTACTACTACTACTACTATTATCACTGCTGCTGCTACTACTAGTACTGCAAATATTACTGTCATTATCCTTATTATCATTATTATGATAATAATTACTATTATTATAAGTAACATGATTATCATGATGATCAGTATCATTGCTATTATTTGCTCCATTATCATTGCTATTCAATTATTATCATTATTATTATTATTATTGTTATCTATATTATTGTTACTTTTATCATTATTGTCATCATTAATATGACTATACTAACATCATTATCATTACTATTAGCAGTATTATTATTATTACTACCATCATTAATATCATCACCAATGTCATAATTATTATTGTAATATTTTAGCTTAATATTGTTGTTACTATCATTATCATCATCATTATAATTATTTTGTTATTATTATCATCATTATCATTATTTTGTTATTATTATCATTATCATTATTTTGTTACTATTACTGTCATTATTATTGTTATTATTAGCGTTGTCATTATCATCATCATTTTTATTATCAGTATTATTTCTATCATCGTTATTATCATTAGCATTAAACCATTATTAGTATTATGACAATTATCGTTAGTGTCATTACTAAATGCTATTCTCATCACAACTGAGGTAGATATTATTATCATCATTCCATTATATTTACTGCCAATGTCATTATCATTATCATCATATTACTGGTATTGTCTTCAACAATATTATTATCATCAATATCATCATCACAATTCTTAGTGTTTCATTTCCTTATTACAAAATCATAGAAATTGATAAGTAAGCTGAGTAGCTAATGATATGAAACTATATGAAATTAGCTAGAAGTAGAAAATTAATGAAGAAATGTGTGAAAGAGAATTATGATATATCAGCTGATGAAATAGTAAATAAAAACACAAACCAGATGACAAGGTGTAAACACAGCTGACTCGTATACAACAAACATTTATTATGGACGTGAGTGGATTAAGCAACAGACTCGATGAAAAAGTCTAAAGAACACTGACCTTCCCGTGCTCTTAATGTCATGAATAATAAAGCTAATATACCAATTATGTTTTGTTGATTATATACTTAAAAAACGGAATTGAGTTTTTTGTTCGTGGATACACAACTGCACAGAATATCAGATCATACTATCGAAAGCTGTACATAGTACTGTGTGATAGGCGTTAACCTTTCGCATACTCGTGGGTAAGGACCACGTGATAAACAGAGGATCTTGAAACCGTACAAAATAGGACAGAGAGAATTTTCCTCGAAATACCTTAAAGAAAGAAAGAAAATAAATGTTTGCACACACAAATATATATATATATATATATATATATATATATATATATATATATATATATATATATATGAATATATATATATATATGTATATATATATATATATATATATATATATATATATATATATATTAGTAATAATAGATTCGTATTATTGTCATTTTTAATATTGTTTGTTATCATCATTATTATCATCATTACTATTGTTATCATTATCATCATCATCATTATTACTATTAATATCATTATCATTATTATCATCGTTGTCATTATTACCGTTATTATTACCATTATCATTATTGTCATTATCATCATCTTTATCATCGTCATCATTATCATTTTCTTTATTGTCCTCATTTTCATTATTAGCATCGTTGTTGTCATATCATCATCATTATCCTTATCATTATTATTTCTACTATTATCATTATCATTACTACTGCTACTACTACTACTACTACTGCTACTACTACTATTACAACTACTGTTGCTATTACTGCTACTTCTGCTACTGTTACTACTACTACTACTACTGCTGCTGCTACTACTACAACAACAACAACTACTGCTGCTGCTACTACTACTACTATTACTAGTACTACTACTACTACTTTTTCCGTATTTTTTTGACAATTTTATTTAACATCAATACAAACATTCTCGAATATAACTCTTAATTTGAGTATGCTTGGCTGAAAAAAGTTGACGGAAAGGTTTTCAGACGGAAACGATCATTATCGTCTGACTGGAAAATCGACAATTCGCTCAAAAATTGACAAAATTTCAGAAAATTGTCTAAAAATTGACGGAAAAAGTGCTAGTGTGACAACATTATTACAGTTCATTATCAACAAATCTGGTTTAGGAAAGTGTTGAAAATCAAATCATTATGTAGAATACATAATAAATATGGTATTGGGCTTTTAAAGGATACAGTATATCTAAAAAAAATGGAATTTTGATAACGCCTAAGGAATAGCAAAGTATTTTTGTTATGATTACAACTTTATTGCTCAGTGGAATTCACCAGTACTTTACCTATTCTAAATCTGCTAGGACGTATCTAATTTAGAAATCAGTGATTCAGGACTAATTTGTGCTACTCCTTTTGGTATTTTCCAGCGAGGAGTGGCAGCTGATGATGGTCCGGCAACATCCTGGCAACCCATTAAGCCATCCTTCCAACGCATTATTTGTTCGTGGCAGATCATCCTTCACTCGTTGATAGATGCTCCATGTCTGACAGGGAATCTTTCCTGGACGTTGACTGGAGGTGACGGAGGATAATCGTCACTTACTCCCTCGTACGATGAAAGAAAGAGTTCGGGGGTAAGGCGGCAATGGAAGCTCCGTTGAGTCCTCCATGCCGTATATCTCACTCCTTGATGTTACTTAATATAGCAAGAAGTAAGACAAGGCTGAAAGCAACACTAAGCGGGGTTAGCTGTGGAAGTAGAGGCGGAAGTTAAAGCAATTAGGGCAGACAGGTAATATATATATTTTTTTAACGACCAGGTACCATGTAAATAATGACAGTAAGACTTTTACCCTGGCGGACATGTCCCCATTCCGCCATTTTCATTTTCTCTCTCTCTCTCTCTCTCTCTCTCTCTCTCTCTCTCTCTCTCTCTCTCTCTCTCTCTCTCTCTCTCTTTTCTAGACGTGCATTTCCCCACGTAGGTTTTTTTTTTTTTTTTTTTTTTTTTTTTTTTTGCGTGGGCGGACATTCACGTGCTCATGGATTTAAACAGGCAGGCATTTTCCTACGAGTAAGTTTGCGTACACAACGAATATTTCCTAACTCACGTTTGGGCGAGAGCCGATATTTCCCTGGTTACATTCACAGTTGCGGGATATATACACGTATGTCTTTCATATACCATAGC